GATGTTATTATATTGATAATATTTTATTGTATAATAATGGTCAAATAAGACCCTAGCTTTAAGTTCAACTTTGATTTTACTATTAACTAATATGACAGATTAACTGCATGATATTATCTCTATAATTTTAGATTTAGAAAATTTAGAATATATATAGTACACATCTGATAACAACTAAATAAAGTGTGTGACGTAACTGTTAAAGTGAAATATATATATCTAATTGTTTATAATTATCAAATTTTTGTTTTTAAATTTAATAGTTACATTAGAATTTATATAATTATTTAAAATAAATGTTTTAAATTAGCTTTTTTGCTTAATACTGTCAAGTGTAAATGTATATATATATATAATGGAATAAGCTTTATTATGCGTAGACCCAAAATTCCGTTATATACGTATTTGACAGTATATAGTAATATACAGTATATAATATTATTGTAAACCTATTTATAAAAAACTTTTAGTTATATAATATACTGTAGTTTTTATTAAAGTTTTTTTTAACTATTATTAATTTTGATTGGTATAATATAAACCAGAAATGATTATTTTTAAGAGAATTTCTATTTGTGTCCGGTGTGTATTATACCCGGTATAAGAAAAAAAATTAAAAATCATTAATACGTATCTAAAATTTTATTAAGAAAACCATATGTAGATACGTATCTTAACTAAAAATGATCAGCACCTAATTTTACTCCTTTAATTCTAATCTATATATTCTAACTTACCCTAGCCTAACATATTGTATATTTTGTTTTTATAACCGGGTACCATACCTTACGGGTATTTTTAGAAATTTCTTTTTTGATAAAGTATACAGTATATTTAATTTTTAGAATTACGCAAAGCAATACCTTTTTAGGGAGTATAAGCAAGTTACTGGGCAATTTAATTACGTTAACCAATAAGACAAATGATCTTCTATAATTTTGATCAACACCTGATAACTCAATACGAAGGTGATTTTTATTAAGCTAACGATTAAATCGCATTTTTATTTTTTATTTCTTTTATATATTACATTTGACTCTACATTAATTACATTAAAAACCACTTGTACGATATTTGACTCATTAATTATTACATTTTTTTCACGCATCATAACCATTATTATACTGTAGTCACTATACCGTAATCACTATTATTCTGTAATCACCATTATTCTATAATCACTATTGTTCTGTAATCACTATTATACTGTAATTACTATTAAATTGTAATAATTATTATACTGTAATCATTACTATACTTGCATAATTGATTACCCCCAGATTACCCCCAGATTGATTACCGATTACCCCCAAATTCATTACTCCCAGATTTGTTGCTACTCCCAACCGATTATTACCCCGTTACCCCTATTATTTCGTCTATCGTGATCATACACGTGATACGAAACAGCAGATTTGAATTCCATGCGAGAAACCAATTCAAGCGAAACCAAACCAAGTCAAAACCAAACCAAGCGGTAAGAATTTGTTAACAGCCACCTTTTTACATGATATTAAAACAAACCAAACACCGAACTAATCGACCGTAGCACCACGTGCATGGTATCCTCGGTACCAATTCTCATCGTTGAAACTATTTATATTGTGACAATAAGAACTATATTGTGTTGGAGTGTCATGGTGAATGTGGGATGAATGATGAAGAGGAGGAGTTACATAAGAACTATATTGAGAAGGAGTAGTATTGTAGTGAATGTGGGAAGAATGATGAGGAGGAGAAGTAGTATAAGAACTAAATTGAGATGGAATGTTATAACGCAAGTGAGATGAATGATGAAGAGGAGGAGTTATATAAGAACTATATTGAGATTGGGAGTTATAATGCATGTGGGAAGAATGGTGAAGAGGAGGAGACGACACATAATTATTTGAAGAAGAATAAGCATTATTAGAAACGTAACCGTAATCATAATAGGATGAAGACTCTGGAGCGGAATAATTGGTATGATCAGATATTGAAGCACTAAAATAATCGTAATCAGAAAAAGAAGTATTAAATTTCCTATTACGGCGATTAAGAGGAGTTTGAAGGCCAAGTTCTTTCATTATGCGATCTTCACGTTCTCTTTCTTCAGCAAGCATTATATCAACATCAGTTACACTGACAGTACTGTTTAAGGCAGCTTTACCTCGAGCGATCATATCAATAAGTTTCTCATTGATTTTTGATATAAAAGCATCATGATCATCAAATTCACTAGGTTGAATTAAAATATCAGTTGAAGAAGACTTGCGACGAAGTAATCGTCGAGGACGACGTACACGAATTTGCCTACGTTTAACAGGAGTAGACGGAGAAGTAGAAGAGGTATCGATCTGAGAAACAGTTTGTGGAGTCTCAAATCGTATATTTTTCGGCGAAATGGACAGAGTAGACACATCTGATAAGTTATTTGATAAGTTATTTGATAAGTTATTTGATAAGTTATTAGTGGAGATCGATAAAGTCTGATTCGTTTCATTATTATGAGTTGGCTATAAAGATTGAAAATAGAAAGTATTAATTTAATAATTATGAAATAAATAATTATGAAATGAAATGAATTATGAAATGAAATGAATTATGAAATGAAATGAATTATGAAATGAAATGAATAGGATCTAAAACAAACTGAAACCAACCATTGACCAAGAAATATCGTATGGTGGTGGTGGTTCTTCTTCATTATCATTTGTTGACCACGAACATCGGTCTTTTTTATCAACACCAAAATCTATTTCTTGACTGGTAGTCACATTATTATCATCATTTTTCTGGACAGTATTATTATTTTTTTTCTGGACAGTATTATTATTTTTTTTCTGGACAGTATTGTTATTTTTTTTCTGGACAGTATTATTATTTTTTTTCTGAACAGTATTACTAAATCTTTTCTGGACTATGTTGTTTTTCTGGACCGTGTCATTATCGTTCAACTCAATATTATTCGTGTCGAGAAGCTCTGAATTGTCGTTATTGAAATGCCTTTCATCTTCGTCAATATACTGTCCTTGTGATCCAAAAGTTTTATAAGATTTATTTGTCTGTACAGGAATTTCTAGCTCAAATTTGCCATTAGATGTAATTGTACCGTAAGCATTGTAAGCATCACTGAGAGCAGCCGAAGTGTAAGCAGCTAATTCTGTTAACTTGTACAAGAAATTAGTCGCTACGCCCACGTTTCTAACGGGACTAGTAGCGTACATCTTGTCTATTTGTTGTTGCATAAAAGTTTCAAACTTTTTTTTAAAAAAAAGAAATAGTTGTAAGAGAGTGTAATGTGAAATATGAAATAAAAATTTACAAGTATGTATCAAAAATACTTTTGATAAATTTTAATAATTATAAGTTTATAATGTTAACAAAGTAATTACTTTTCGTGTATTGGCGTGATATGTAAATATCAAGTTTTTTTGATGTTTCTCCCGCCAAAAATTCAGAGAATGAAAATATATTTGTGAAATTTTAAATGGAGAAACGTCAGTTTTTTTTTTTTTGTTTTTTGTTTTAAAAAAAAAAAATATGTTAAGCTCCGTGCGTGCAGATAAGCAAGTTATAAACGGTTATCCTAACGCTAATGCGTCGTCTGATAAAAATGTAACTATAACACAAAGAATTTTGCTTTATAAAGGCGAAGAATCTGATAAAGAAATAAATTTGGACTTTTCTGGTGAAGAAGTTGTGCAATCATCTATAGTATACAAACATATGTTGGAGTAACGCTATATACGTAGTACATACACATTTGAGTCCCTGAAAAATAATGTATTTCCGGAATGACTTATATGGACATGATTCAAATCTCAGTGTGTCTATCTCGTCCAAAGAGCACTCTAGAGTGTTATTCAAAGATCATCTACATTACATATGCACCATATGCACCATATAGGGTGATTGGTCAATTTTATACAGTTTAGTTTATACACTCTTTACAAACGGAAGTTTAAGTATCAATAGACTATAGACGATAAAACTTGTGATTGTTATGTAGCTTACAAAAGTTTATATTCTAATTTTGTAAATTATTGAATTATCGTTATTCTGTTATCGTTATTCTGTGAATTGGGTTTTATCCCAAGAATATGTTCCGGAATTCTCCGATACTTTCGTAATTGATGCAAAACATTTTTATTAATGACACGTGAAAGTCTTTTGGGGTTAAAGTTAGAGTAGAAGTTAGAGTAGAAGTTGAAGTTAGAGTAGAGGTTAGAGTAGAGGTTAGAGTAGAAGTTGAAGTTAGAGTAGAAGTTAGTGTAGAGGTTAGAGTAGAAGTTAGAATAGGGTTTATTATGCTAGAATTTTGCAAGATACTCTTTATCAGAACAGATTCTTAACAATTATTTACGCATAAAATTTTCCTTTTGAGGGGTGTGCGGTCACATGACATAAAGCCAATAAAATTGTTTATTTTGATCGACACGGATCAGCCCGACGAAGCAAAAAAAGTGAAAAATGTAAAACATAGAAGAAACGAGTGTCTAAACCCACCTCGGGGCATTAACAAAAACTGTCGGGGAGGAAATTTTACTATAAAATCTTCTCTCACCCTAGCCCCATACTAATCCTTACCCTAACTTTAATTGAAAAGTCAAAATCACACGGCTTTATAGTTTGTATCCTTCGAGGGAATAAGTGCATGCGGTTAATGGTCATTTGAACTTGTACCTCTGCATATATTCACTCCGATCTGTACTTAATATGTACGTGATGTCATTGATATTCGTTCCGTGGTAATAGGAGTTCAAAAAAAAACCACCAATGCGAAGTCTTTACAAACTTTATTGATATGCAAAAGTGCAAAAGGATGTTGTACAATCGAACGTTGTCATGTGTAAATTTTCGTATCACAAACATTTAGGTGTCGTATGTAATACGCCTTCTGCCGTATCGTGTTACGAATAAACATTCATTTCCTTTTTAAATAATTTCTCAACACATGTGTTTCTATTCATGGCATAATATAATAATTATTTAACTATTGGCTCTTATCGCATTAGCATTATGCTATACTTCCATTGTTGTCAATTTACCTGTTTCACGGCAAAATATTCTTCGTGATAAGTGGTGTAGATATATTGTGTGTTGGGATCGGTTATAAATTCCAACACCCGGATTGTCATCCGCTGCCAAAATAGGTTTGTCATGTCCGGTCTTGGTTCTAAGATCTTTATTTTTTACCATGTGGTTTTTCAAAACTAAATTCCAGAACATCTAATTGCAAATACTTTCTACTGTAACTAATCGGAATTCATTTCTGTATATTTGTTGTAAGTAGAAACGAAATTTAAATGAATTTAAATTTTTTAGAATTTTAGAATTAAAAGCGTAGATTTATATATATAAAATAAATTTTGCTCTATATAAAATTATAATTTTATTAAGAAATTCCAGGTTTTATTTAAACTCCATTACTACTTACAATAGGTTAGAGTTAGCCTAAGGTAAAATTGCAAGAAGAACATTTTTGCTTATGTTATATGACAGGGGTTACCTTAGTAAAATTTTGAAATTTTTTCAAATTTTGTTATAGAAGATGAGGGTTTACTCTGAGTGAAAAATAAATGTGTTTTTTTTAAAGGTAGATGGTATGTAGATTATTTTTTATATGATCAACACATGATTTTAAAAATTTACTATAAAATTGGAAGTTGTTACTAATAAAACTTTTTCAAATTACAATAAATTTTTATCAAATTTTTATAAAATATAAATAAAATTATTTATCTATTATGATAAAATTTTGAACTATTATATCTTATAAAAAAATATATTTTTATATATAACAAAATTTTTCTGGATGAATCTAAAATTTTCTGAGTTGCACAAAATTATCAATTTTGATTGGTTAATTTACATAAAGCTATAAGATAAATTTAATATTAAAATTTTATACCTAATTTTTAAAACTTTATATTTTGCTAAGTTTTTAACCAATTTTAATAAATTTACTATCATTAGAATCAAAAAAACTTACTCTACAAAATTTAAATAATAGTTAAAATTAGTTTACTTAATAAAATTTTTTATATAATTAAATATAAAAAAAAATTGCTATTAAGTTTATATATAATTTTAAAATAGTACTATCTATCCTTAAAATTTTACAAGTTTATAAACTAAATTATTATTAAAACAAAGATTATTTAATAGTCAAATCACGAGTTATCTGAATAAATATTTTTTTATATATAAATTTTATTAGAATTAATATAAACATACCCTACAGGTACATTAAATTTTTTTGTACCCTTTATTTTGATCATACGATATTACATACAAAAATAGTAATACTGATATTGTTTAGTTAGTTTAGAATAGAGTTGCTGGTGAAACTGGTGAAACTTGGTGAAACTTGGTGAAACTTGGTGAAACTGGTAACTATTTAAAATCTGATTGGCTATTGAATGCAATAGCCAATTAGATTTTAAATAGTCATCAGTTTCACCAGTGTGATTTAGTTTCATCTGCAGCTCTAGTTTAGAGTTAGGGTGAGAACTATGTTAGAGTTAGTGTTTAAACAATTGTATAGTAAAATTGCTCAAGAAAAACTTTTAATTAATATACAGAAGGTGGTTTAGTATGCATTCTCTTGTGAAATTAGCGATTTTTCTGATCGTATAATATTATATCTGATCTTGAATTTTATATCAATCTATATAGATTATATGATGTAAGTATATATATCTTGAACGCGAATCACTAACTCTTCCTGATGATCACTTGTACCAAACTTCTCTTGAAAACATTTGCTGTTTATCAAACATTTTATTAAGTAAATCACCTCTGGCTGCCTAAGTAAAGTTGCTCTACTCCTAATTTTACTTATAGGCGGCCTAGTTTTATAGCTCTAGAGTTCTTTACTACTGAGTTATAACTATATTTTAAAATTTTTGTTTTTTCCGGTTTTCTTAAAATTTTATTAAGTAAACCTTTATTGCTTCTT